CTAATGCTGACAAATTTGCTCAGCAATTGTCTGAGAAAGACTTTATTTCTCCTTCACTTATAAAACTTATTTTGTGAGATACATAATCCCTGACTGACTGTTATTCTGTTTGAGAAGATTGAAGATAGGAAAGGCTGGAGTTTTAAAGAATCAATAGGCTGACTGAGGCTTAAAAAATACCAAATAGAAACTTTACCCAGTCACTTTTCAGTACTTACACCAAAAATCACTGCTGCAGCCAGTCCTTGGTGCTCTTCCATGCTGCAATGAGAACAGCACAGATCTATCATGCTACCTCCTTGAGTGCCACATCCCTGGATTGCCAGGCCTTCGATGCAATGTCATTTTTAGCTCTAAGCCAAGTATTTTGCTGTGCCAGCATAAAGCATGTCCTCTTCATTCAGGAAAACCAAAGTCAAGAGAGAATGAAAAGAAGATACGATTTAAACACGGCAAACCCTGTGAAAGGTATAATAAGAGCTTCATGAGAGCAGTGATCCCCAGTAGCATTCTTGTATCCCCCTTGTACCCCTATTTATAGCTTGGTGCCTGGTATGTGATAGAGACTTCACAAATATTTGGAGAGGCAAAGCTAGAAGAAAAGGAGGAAGAGGAGAAAAAAAGAAATAAGAAAACAAAAAGGGACTAAGTCTGTCAACCCACAGGAAAAGAAATGGTGTATTCTTTATCAATCTCAGCCTTTGGTTACAAGTCTACCTACTTACAGTGAGTCTCAGTTTGGATACTTCAAGTACAAGTTTTCATACTTTGAACCAGAATCCCATTATTTATTAGATGGGATTTATAGCTGTGCTCTCAGTAAAGCTCACTTTTTTGGTTATCCGTGGGAACAAGGTCTCCTTGTTTTTGGTTATCAGTGGAAATGTAGTGCATGCTGGGGACCATTTTACACTGAAGCTGTAAGTTGCTGTCTATTCACTATGGACTATGGAAATATGGAATTCATGCCTAGATGAGTCAGCAAGTTAGATTACTTGAAAAACTGTTATTTAAATTTAAGCCTTTTCTCTTTCCCAATTTTGGTCACTCAGAATGTGATTTCATATCCAAAAATGAAATTGAGGAGTAGCCAATTATCTGAATAATTCATGCCAGAATTACCCAAACACTTTTTGTTCTTTGAATACTGGTAATTCAGGACTAAGTAATTGAAGGGTTTAGGGAGGATTGAATTATCCTGATATTTTTCAGATAAATGCCTCAAGTTAACATTTTACTTGCTATAGACTCAGCTCTAATCATACTGGGTTTTGTCCTGCAGAAAAAGTGCTCATTTTAGTGTTCTTGACCACAGCACCCCTCATACTAAAGCAGAAGTGCCCTCATCAAAGTATAAACTATATTATCCTTAGACTACAATCTGAACATTCTTTTTAATTTTTTATTTTAATTTAATTTTTTTCAAAGTGATATACTTATTATTATTATTTTTTGAGTTGGAGTCTCACTCTGTCGCCCAGACTGGAGTACAGTGGCCGCTCCTGGCCACCGTAGCCTCGACCTGCTAGGCTCTGGCGATCCTTCCACCTCAGCCTTCTAGGTAGCTGGAATTACAGGCGTGCACAACCACATCCGGCTAATTTTTTGATTTATTGTAGAGATGAGGGCTCACCAAGTTGCCCAGGCAGATGTCGAACCCACAGGCTCAGGCAATCCACTCACCTCAGCCTCCCAAGGCGCGGGACTACAGGCTGAGCCACCGAGCCTGGCTGTGATATACTTATAATAATGATACTAGCATTATAACAAAAACTGTCTGTCCCTTCTGCCAAATTCACCCCCTTCCCTATTCTCACTCTCCCGAATCAACCACTTGGCTTTCTTCAGATGTCTTCTCTGGTACTCTCTATTTCTAAATAATGTACTCTCACAGTTTTCAGTTTTGGATATTATCCCTAGTGGCTATTAGCATCTTACTATAGACTAAAAATAATTTTGACACTTATAAACATTTGTAAGGCACTTACAATGTCCCAGAGAATATTTCAGGTACTTTGCACATATTTGCTGTTGTAATCTTCACAATGACACCATATGGCAGATACTATTATTGTCCAAATTTTACATATTGAAAACAGAGGCATAGAATAACAGTGTATATTGCCCAAGGTTACATAGTAATGATGGTAATAAATTGTGGAGCCAGGATTTGAATTCATTCTGGCTCCTAAGTTCATATTTATAACAACGAACCAGATTTGTCAAGCTCTATTTTAGCATACACACACACACACACGCACACACACACACACGCACGCACACGCACACACACACACACTTCCTCCCCATTCTTTAGGGCTAAATTAACATTCAGTTGAGTCCACGTGTTGTATTACGTTATGATGCATTTTCCAAACACTCTGCTGAAGACAAAAACAATCTTTCAGCATACTTGGACAACTCAGATTTTTCTCAGTTTCTCTGTGTTCATGGAGACCTTTTTCCCCTTGCCCCTATCTGCATGCTGCCATCAGACACTGCTTCACAATCGTTATACCAGACAGTTGTCTTTCATCTGCATCATCCTGGGAATGCCTTTTGCTTTCCTCCTGTTTAGACTCAGCCCTTATTTAGACTATTTCCTAAACCTGTCTTTTCCTTTTTTTTTTTTTTTTTTTGGTCTATTCTCATGCTTCAATAAGTGTATCTTTCTACCCAAAAAAAGTGAGTAGGTGCCAACATTTTTGAGGCCTTGCGTGTTCAAAAATATCTTCAATTTACTGGATTATGAGTGTTTGGCATGTGCAGAATTCTAGGTGGGAAATAATCATCTCTCTGACTCTTGAACACATTTCATTTTCTTTTGCTCCCAGTGTATCTGTTGAGAAGCCCCATTCTTCCCTTTTAATCCCTTAGGAGTTTTTATGATCTTTCTCTTTATCCCCAGTATTTTGGTTTCTTGATGCTTTGCCATGGTGTGGGTCTGTTTTCATTCCTGGACTGTTTTCAATCTGGAGCCCTAAATGCTTCCATTCTGGGAAATGTTTTGTACAATTTCTTTGAAAATATCCTCTCCTTCATTTTCTCTATTCACTCTTTCTGGAAATTCTCTTATTCTCATGTTGGTCTGGGTCTCAGATTTTCTAACTATTCTTCCCTCTTAATCTATACTTTGGCTTTTTCTAGTTTGACTCTCTAGGACTTGTTTTTTACTGAAATTTACCTTTTAATCTTGCTATTTAATTTTTTAATTTCTGCTATAATAGCATTAATTTTCAATAGCACCTTATTTGTTTTCTCTTGGTTCTTTTTTATAGCATTTTATTTGCAAATCTTATTTAAATTTCCATCTGGTAGAAGAACTGAAACTCACCATAATTTTTGAGTGATGATGACCACAATTGACTTTTTGAGACACCTGCAAAATCTAGAACTTCAAATGAAAATGCCTGTGATTTCTGTTGGTGACAGAGGCACAAGTACCTTTAATATTGCTGTGGGTTTTTGCCTTCATTCACAACTTAATAAAATGTTAAATTTCAGTTAGAAAAAAATTACAATCTAATGTTAATGCATATCTTTATTTTTACTTCCTTTTTATAAAAAGGTGCATACCAGGAGCACAGTTTTGCTACTTGCATTTTGTACCTAACATGTTGTAGGTCTTTATGTATTAGTGTATAGAGACCTTCTTCATTCTTTAACATAGTTACTGTCATCTTCAGAAGTACATGATACTCCTGGTTCCTGCATCTTGCAGTTTCAATCAGTTTGTTGAGTTCTCTGACTTCGGTTTCTGCTTTTTCTGGTGTGTTAATTCGATTCTAAATGTTCCTCCACTTTCTTGTTTCTGAAATATTATTGGCATTTTGTATGTTACCAACTTCCTTATTTGTACAGGTTTATGCTTTTTTTATTTCTTTATTTTCATTTTAGTGTTGTTTTCACAAGAAAGGGGTGATGTGTATATTCATTGTATCATGTTTAGTTAGTATCCCTAGAACACCGTTTGACCAGCTGGATTTTTCTTTCACCTTCTTCTCTTTCCCTTTCTTGTCAACGATCAACTCTCTAAATTTCTTTTCAGAGAAAATATAAAAATGAGAGTTTTAACTTTCAGATAATGATGATGATAAAATATATACTAGCACACTGAGAATAGGCTACTTGGTCTTTGTGAGCAAGCACAGTTTTGAGACCATAAAACTATACTTGGGGTTTTCCTGCACCAAAACGTGGCCTTATGTTATTGAATACCATTGCCAGAAACTGTTTGGTTTTGTCTGGTACAGCAACAAAAAGTAATTTAGTAATATGTAGGATTGCCCAACCTCAGGAGATACTTCTTCTCAGGAAGATTTTATACCCAGTATGGGACTAAAATCTCATAAAAAATGAATGCACCTACTCTGAGGAAAATTTATTTGAAAAGTGAAGCAGTCCCATGGCTTGAGTTTGTACTCTTTTTCCAGAGACTTACTAGGTCTCAAATTTTGAGGGAAAAACAACATTATTGTTCCCTAGCTTCTTCTTTTTCTCATAGATTTACCTGCTTATGATCTTTCAACATGCTACTATTCAGTAATCACACACCCAAAGAAAAAACAGTCTTCTTTAAACTTCTGAAGATTCAACCTTGTTGAAAAATTTAAAATGTCACTAATAAATCCATGTCAATGAAATATAATTATCTCTTATTTATGCTCAACCAACAATACTATACTTCCCATCTTGCTTGACTCTGATAAAATTCCCTTGTCTGTAGAATGCATGTACTTCAGTGTGTATGACTGAGATACTACTTCCATAGCTGGATTAAAAAAGCATTCAGTAAGTGTACGTTGTTATATGACTATTGCTTTTATTGTTTAAAGAGTGGTTTATAAGAAAACAGAATAAATTGCCTATTGGAATGAAGTGTTCCTCAGTGTGGTTAGTGTGAGGATAATTTCCATTTTTGGTGAGCTGTTTAGTGGTATTGTCTTGTAACTTGACCATAGTTTTATCTAATTTTGGCCTGTGGTTTCTCTTCTGCTTAGGCATGATGACATCAATAGAAAAATGAAGAAATCCTACAGCATTAAGCACATTGCTGAGCCAGAGTCAAAAGAACTCTTCTTGTAAATCAATTTTTTTAATTATCTCTCAATGATACCCTTTGGAAACCATTGGAAATTTCTGGACTATTCTCTATGGAAATAGAACCATAAGAACAATGCCTCACCAGCAGAAGAACAGAATATCAGGATGCCTTAAATTTATAACAGTAGACTATATAAGGTGCATTTTTTGGGTGGTACCTGTAAATATAACTTGTTTTTTAAAGAGATGTTGTTTAAAAGCATGATTGGGAAAATGTATGTTTTTTAAGATTAGATTGATTCAACCTACCCACAGGACATTCAGCAAGCCACTGATGCCATTTTGTATTTCTTCAATTGCATGAGTATTTGCTAATGTTGGTTGAACTTCCCTTTCACTATAATATGGGCAGATTTGGCTCAGCAACTCAATGAGACCAGGTCAGTGGTATTGTTTTCTGTCAAGAGTGTTTTTTCTGTCGTTTCTACTTTTTGTATAAAGGAAATAAAACAATGTTAACAGCCACCTATAAGCTTGGGGCACCTACTTTCTAACAAATCTGTGATGTTCTAATGTCTAAGGGACTTTCCAAGTATTTTGATTGCCGATATTTGATTTCAGGAGCAAACTGCCCCGTTTAGCTGTTTTCCCATAGGGGTCAAATAAAACATTCTATATTTCATTAAGTACTAAGGGATCAGACAAGTATATAAAGTAAGTCAATTCCTTCTGCCGTCTCAAATCTCAGCGTTGACATGGGAAAATGCTAAGGACAACTAAGGATTTAGCCCCTTCTTGGGTCACTTTTTTTTCTGCCTTTAACACATTACGAGGCCTGTCTAATCCCTTTAGGAGACAGTGTGGAGCCTGAGTTCATAACAGCCCTATTGTTGATGCAGCTCTTTCAATCCATGTAAGCAGTAAGTTCCAGAAGGTTTCCTTCTATCATGTAAAAATATATTTCTGTTGAAACTTCAAGAGTTTTATTTTCAAAGTCTTGGCATGGCCTATAAGAGGCCTGTCAAGTTTCAGTTTGAAAGTAGAATGTGTTCTTACCAGTAGGAGGGAGCACTGTATGCTATTACAGTTATAGCAATGTTACTGCAGTTAGATCAGTCAAATGCGAACCATTCTGTATCCTGGTGCACAAAGCAGACCAGATTACTGAATTAGGAAATAACTTTGCATATGTAGGTCTGACAAGCTTGGGTTTGATGAAATGCCATTAGATATCGAAGAATGAGCTCATATCTGAATGTCTTTTATGTACCAGAAGCTATTATATGGTCATGTTACTGCCCCCCTTTTATAGATTAGAACATTAAACTTTGGAAAGCTTAAGTCCTGTGTCCAAGGTAACACTACTAGTAAATGGTATACCTAGGCTTTGGTACAAGTTTTCCCATTATCCCCATTCCACTAGGAAGCTTACACTATATGATCTCCTTAATGCATTGGCCGCTGGGCTAGCACACAGGAAGCATGAGTTCTGGTGTTGGCTCTTCTTCTGACAACTCTTTGATCTTGGGCAGAGGACATTACCTCCTTGACAAATCTGAAGAAGGACAAGACTGACCTACATACACATCTAGGAGGTGGGTTATTTTCAATATACAGAGCAACGTACCTGTGAATTTCAGTTTATGGGCTCTGTCCTTTTTGGGGGTTCTGTGAGTTGTTACTGTTAGAGCCTGGTGCCATGGATGGTTCTACATTTCTCATATAGTCTTTTCCCCAAATGCAATTGCCCTCTCTCTAATTTTTGGTCTCTTGGCCCTTTCTGCCCTCTTTGATTGCGATCTCATATTTCACTGCTCTGTCCTATCGCTTGAAATATATTCTCTAATAGAGATTGTATGGCAAGAATATGTGAAATGTAGATTCCCTTGTTTTCTACTTGGTGCAGAGGAGGTGACACTGGAGTCACACAGTAAGCCAACCTTTGAGACTTGGCTTAAAATGAGGCCTCAAAGAATTAGCACCTAGATTGTGCTCTCTCTGTGTCCCAGAGGCCCCACTATCATTCTTAGACTGTGTTTTTAAATGTGAAAGATAAAGGGGGCCAGTATTCCACAGAAATTTCATAAGCAGATAGATTTCTCAATTAAACATAGCAAAGTAAATTTCAAGAGTTTGAAAGAAAAAGATGCTACTGTGACTTAGAAAAACTCTGGCAATTCAATTGTCTAGTGACACTAGCATTTTAAATCCCACAGTACTAAGTACAGAAGAACAAATAATAAAAGAGTTAAAACAGAAAAAGTTGAGCAGATTCCGATCAACCAGAGTGTGGGATAATGCATTCTATGTTGAATAATGTTGCTAAGATACTAAAAATGCTGACCTTTATATCATTCGAGTACGTATATTTACTGTTCAAGTTTCTTATGAGATGGATAAATTGTGGTTACTTGAAATTAGTAGAAATGATGTTTTCCTCAGCACAAACATTGTTTTTTGCAGCATTTTAAAAAATGAAAACACAAACTTTAATTTTTCTGTAGAAGCTGAGACACATTTCCATGTTAAAGAAAGACAGTGTGTGTTTCCTTTTAATAAGCGGAGCTTTGGGGCCCCTGCCCCAGCTCCCTCCCATTGGGCTAGTAAAATGAGAGAAGCTCTATCTGCATGCCTAATTACATGCAGCAAAGGAGGAAACTCAGCTCCATTGTAAAAAACAATCACATCTGTCAGCATCTTTTAAAGACTGGCTTCTTTTATGTCACTAAAGGGACTTGTATTGCCAAAGTTCAACACAGCAAATTAAGAATGTTTCTCATAAAAGATAACAAGATGCCAAGCTGTCACCACTTTGCATGGGTTGAATTCCCGTTATTTGCTCTCATAAAACGGTATCAAGAATGCAACCCAAATAAGAGAGTTCTAGATGTGTGTCACAGGGTTGATAGTGGGGATGAAACTTTCAAAAGACACCTTCAAGTAAGATTTTGAGAGTCAATTTTTTTCTCAAAATGAATAATCATAAGCAACATGATGATATAGGCTAGAGGAAGTAACTATAAATATCTAAACCATTCCCTAAAAGTTGTCTTGATACAAACTGGATTAAATGTTTTTTTTTTTAGTGGCCACCTGTATGCTTAATGTTGAGTTAGCAGAGCTAAGTAAGCATAAGGAATTATTGCAACAATGTTGATACCATGAGGCCCCTATAAAAATGGAGTTCACACTGTCTGTAGCCCATAACTCTCATTTGTTGATAGGTCTATCATTTTGGCCTGTGTTGTCTCTGGCATTATTTCCCTTTATTCTTTAACTATTGCACAGTTTTATATATCTTTTCAAGCACTTGATTCCTGTCTCCTAATGAGACCATAAATTTGTTGATTTCAACAGAATATTTGTATCACCTCTCATAGATGGCAGATAATAAGTACTAACAATTTCTTTCAACACCCTTATAGTCATCTTTCTTTTCCTTTCATTTATTCCCCATTCTTCTTCTTCCATCCCTTCCTCATTCTCCTTCTCTTTCTTTCTCCCTCTTTCCTTCCCTCCCTCACTCTCTCACTTCCCTCATTGCTGTCATCTTCCTTCTCTTTTATTTCTCTCTTCTTTGCCCTCTGTGCACATGATCTCTAAACCCTCTATGCAGGATCTTCCTTGGAAAAGACCTGGCAGAGGAACTGCAGTAAGTGGAAATGTGCTGAACACAGGTTTACACAGAAAAGAGATCACCTTTCCAGAGCAAGTAAGTAGGACAAGCGTCTTTCCATATGCTGATATACTCAACAAATTATGATTGAGCCCATGCCAAAAATGAGGCCCTGTGCTATACACTGTACTTAAACAACAACAAAAAAAGATATGTGAGTTGGTGTCAACTATAGTGGAGGTATACAAGGCTAGACAAGTCTACCAAATTGTGCATTTAGAGAGACTTGGTAAAAAGACTATTCCAATCAGTTTATAGCAGTGGTTCTCAAACTTCGCTGCACATTATTATCACCTGGGAACTTTAAAAATGTCGGATGCCCAAGCTGAATCCCAAACAAATAAATCGTCTCTCTGGGGTGGAACCCAGAAATCAGTATTTGTAAAAAAAAAGAGAGAAACAGGATTTAAATGTGCAACCAAGTTTTATTTTTTCAATTGACAAATAAGAATTGTACATAAGCCGGGCTCGGTGGCTCAGCTTGTAATCCCGCACCTTGGGAGGCTGAGGTGAGTGGATTGCCTGAGCCCGCGGGTTCGAGACCTGCCTGGGCAATTTGGTGAGACCTCATTTCTACAATAAATTAAAAAAAAAAAA